TGATTAGTTCAGTAACTAAAATACACTACAAGTCAGTACCTTACATTTGGTGTAAACTTTGAACACATTACAACAGAAGATGTATCTGTTAAGTTTTGCTGACAGCAAGACATTCCTAAACTACCAGTGAAAATAACTTCCACTCCTCACCCAATGAGCCGTCGCTATGTTGATGAAACACCTCTACTGTCGTTGTGACATTCTCACTTTCAGGAGTGCATGCTCTCATTTTGCCAAACATCACTACGGAGCATGTCTAAATATTTCCCATGCACAGCTTTCTTCATGACGCTCCTTCACTGTCTCAGAAAGCCAATGAGCCAGCTAATGCAGGCTGGGAGTAGAGGGGTGTGTGGTGGTGGGGCAATCCACTTTCCCAGGTAGAGTCAGTAGAGCAGTCAACAGATTCCTCTCCCACATACATTTTTATTTTGATGGGTGTGGATAGCCGTCCCTCTGCCGCTGTCTTGCCTTCTCCCAACTTCACTTCATCATTCCATATGCCCATAAAACGGGTTCATTTCCTCTGCGCCATTTCCCTAAAGGTGAGTTTAGCAATCGGTCTCTCTGCTAGACGCACTCCAGAATTTCCTGGCTATCTGCATTCTGACAGCACATACAGACATAGGCCTGATGGCTCTTACATACTGTTATGACCCAACAAATACAACTAACACGTAGCTGATGTCAAAGCGCTGACTTAAGGAGCACCGCCCAATTCTGCAGGAGACTATCGTAAAACATGATGATGGTGCACGGGCATGGTGTTCGTAAATGTCATTAAAGGAGGCTAATAGCGCTGTCTGTTTGAGAGGTGGATCAATACAGTAATGAGGAGACGGAGGCACAGGCGTAATCACCAAAAGCCCAATGGTGCTGAAATCCACAAAATAAAATAGAATTGGGTCCTGGAGGGCAGCAGTTCTGACTGACATATTCAGTAAGACACTCTCTCGCTACATCTCATCGGTTCTAATGACATGGCCTTAATGTTAGAGGAGTTTCTCAATTTTGCTCTTTTTAGTGCTTATTCTCACTACTTCACTGTTTTCTGTTCTCTGTTTAAAACTCTCAGAGGTTGGCAAATATACCTGATGTGATGTGAGACCTATAAACAGCAGGGGTTCTTGATATTTCACCTCTATTAGCAAGAGATATCAGAACACCCTAATGAAACTTCCCAGCATAAGGCCAGACACAAGCCCTGGTAATAGTGATTAATGTTGGAGATTAGTATAAGCGTTTAAGGTATAGTGGAGATGTAACATACACATAACTGGAGCTCATGCCGGGTGGATTTAAATGGAATTTCATTAAAGCTAAAAGAAAGAATGATGACTTTTACAACTCCCACTGGCAGCATTTTTACAGGCAGACATTTCCCACTAATGACTTGAATATGAAATAGTGACCCCATCGCACTAAGCACAGTTTGAGTAAATTGAGCTCACTGGTAAAATAACCTTCACCACATTGACTGGTAAATCTGTTGTTAGAGCTTCTTACAGCAGTGGTTCTTAAGCTTTTTTCAGCCTCAGGAACAGACGAACAACTTTAGCTTCTTGCCCTTGGACCCAAGCTCATTTAAACATATTGGTAATCTGTTTTTTTGATTACTAAACAACAGCAGGCCTGTGACCCAGTTATTGGTTTAGCTTGAGCAGTCTTACAGGTAGTTCACAGGTTGAGCTACAATGAGAAATCCTGTATGCATAATTGATTTACACCAACACCGGCCCGAGACAGTGATGACAATCACAGTAAACATACATTCACACATTTATCCATTATGCATAGGGATGGAAATACACACTACCACTGACCCTGATATGAAATAGGACACATGAGGGGTGTACTGGTTGCAATACAAGCGCAGTGTGAGTGTCGGCACCACCTTCTGTTGACGGTGTGTCTGTGAAATCCATCTGTTTCTGGCCATGACTGGCTGACTAGAGGGAACCAATGGAGTGAGACCTGATTTGGTGTCAAACGGAGTACTTGGATGAGGCAGTGTGTGTAGATTTAGTGTGTGTGTGTGTGTGGTGTGTGTGTGTGTGCTGTGTTGTGTGTGTGTGTGTGATGTGTGTGTGTGTGCGCGTACATGTATTGGATCCTTTACTACAGCTTATGGTGTTTATGTGCATCCTGGTGAGAGCCTGTGCAAAGAGCCAGGTTTGAGTCACAGTTGCTGGACAGAATGGAAAGACTGGACAGTAAGCAGGTTTTGCACAGTGAAATAAATATCTGCTAAGGTTGTGACTAATCAAAAGGACAGCTGTGATGTGACCTCATATGCATATGCCATACCAGCATTTCACAGGATCATGTTAAAGGGGGGAAAAACAATCAGCAGGTCATAAGTGTAATGTGCCTTTGACGGGAATGACTATGCAGACAAACATCTTTAAAACCTGTCACTTTTTTATTTATTCCACTGTCTGTATAATTTATTGTAATCACTTTAAATCATGGTACTTTATTATAATAACTTGAAGTTTACAGTACTTAAATGATTAACCTTTAAGTCCCGTATGTGCATGGTGCAATGGAGGTTGAAAAGTAATTTCCCCCTGGGATTATTAAAGTATTTCTGATTCTGATTCTGTATTTCTGATAGATCCAAACAAAATTCCCAGTAAGAGAGAAAATAAAAGGATTAATCATAAAATCTAAAATAATGTACCAAATACTGATGCCTGATTATATATAAATCATAAAAACCATACAAATCAGTCAAGAACAGTCTGTAACAATTTGTAAGTTTTAAATGAGTTTAAACGGTAGATAGTACTATATTAAAGACATCAAACAACTGATAGTGTGTTGCAGTCCAACCTCAAACAGCCAGCTTTTGATCACCCAATAAAATAATTGAATGTGACGGTATATATAGTTAGAAAGTACAAAAGACAAAATTAAGAGTGTGATATTATCAGCTTCTGGCTCACGCGTTGCAAAATGTCACTTACAATAAAGGCTTCTATTGTCAGCAGGCAGTGGGAGTAGGGCGGATATTTAGTCTGAAATGATGAATTGATCTCAGTTAACTTATGGACGCTGGACCACCCAGAGGTTGTCACTTAATGATAAATGGACGTAATACTGAGCAACAGGGACAGCAAGTCAAGGACTTGGGGAAGGAGACTTAATACATGATGGATGATAATCACGCATACTATGTGACATTAATGCAAGCCTGATGGGGCAAGTGTGTGTGAGAGAGAGAGTGAGAGTCAGAGTGAGAAAAATGCTACCGACAAACACACACACACACACACACACACACACAATTTTTGACAAACACACACATATAGTAAAGTTTTTGTTTTGTGATATTTTCTTGATTTTATGCATAATATGCATATGCATTTAACTTTTTTTCTTTTTATTCTATAATTTGGTAATGCTTTGGCAATATTGTGTTTGTTACACTCATGCCAATAAAGGAATTGAATGTCTACGATATGTATAGAATAAAAGGTGCAATGTGTGAGACCACTTCAGAGGACTGATATGAAACCTTACACTCAGTAACAGATGAAATAAAGTTTCTCCTGGAAGTTGCAGCTCTCCCACTCTTCCTTTTTGTTCATGATGATGAGCTCCATACTGGACACCAGTGGCAGTGGTACAGGTATCAGGAAGATGGACACTTCCAGAGTAGAGCTGTGTGTTTAGATTGGACCGATAAGAATGAATGTTCACCACTGCTGTCACTGGTTCTTGAGTCGGATGTTTTGGCCGGTGTAATCACCTCAGGGTAAACATGACGAGCTCGGAATACTAATTTGTGTCAGTGAGCTTTTTTACTCTGAATTTTTCACATTATGTATGTAAGTACTTACTCCTCAACAAAAATCCTTGACATTAGAGTATACAATATTTTCCACAACATCCACACACAAAAGGAAATTAATTTAATTTGAAATCAGATGATGCTGCAGTTATTATGCATTTTAATTAATTTGCATTTCACCTTGTCTAAGGTCTCCAAGATTCATGCCAGACTGCAGGCGTAAGAGTAATGTCACTATACTCATCACTCTTTAGGTTTGTGATTGGAATATCTAAATGCTTTTAAATGAATACCATGGGTGCTGTTTAATTAGATATATTTAAAATATTAATGCAGCATGAAGTTAATGTGACATAAACACAATCATGGACAACTTTAACTGTAATTTGTAAATAGGAGAAAACCTTCTCCCTGGACTACGCTAGTATCAAGAGTCAAGAATAAAATGGTCTAATTAGGGTACGTCTACAAACAATGGTTGGTTAAGTATGGTGTGAGATAACTATGCTAATCATATCACCTCACAGTATTTCTTTAAATCACATCATTCATTTTTTGTAAAGAGTTGTATTCTAGGAACATCTTTGTCATGTGACAGTTGTTTCAAAAGGCAGGCTGTTCATTTGCTGATACAGAAGAATTTGGAGCTGATTTGAAGTTATTATAGAAGTTTTTCTGTTTGTATACACTGATGTGAAATCAGACATACAAAAAGAGAAAAAGAAGATGGAAAAACAGTAGAGATCTGACCAGTTACTAAAATCTGGTTAGTTTTTCTAGCAAACATACACATGATCATGTCTGGGCTTAGCTCATAATTACTTACTGGCAGGCAGGGATAAAGCAATGTTCAAGAGAGCTTTTCAAAAGAGGGATACGTTTAGTTGTTTTTTGAGATCCTCAGACAAATCACGGCTCATAAAATGCAGGAATCTGCTGGCTCAAGACTGACTGTAAGTGTGTGTGTTAGTGCCACTTCCACATGATTTCAGAAAAGTCACCTACAGTACATAAAAATACCACCAGTGTGTCATCCACTCCTGCCTGTTGGCAAACTGTTACCAGAAGCAAATCATTGTCACTCTGAAGCAGCTTGAAACCAATAAATGATCACGTCTATCACTCACAAAGTGGCAAACCATATTCAAAAACCAACAAAACAAATGTATCACAATGACCACCACACAGCACTAGTTTCACTCACCCATCCCTGTTTTCATCTTCATCCGCATTGGAGAGGAGCTGCGAGCCAGCCAGAGAGAGGTCCAGAGCTGCGAGGGGCAGATCTCTGTAGCCAAAACTCACCAGCTGGACTGGAGGAGCCAGGCACTGGTTCTCATCCTCCACTGGCTGGGAGATGATCTCCAAGTCTGACAGACCTGCCTGCTCCACTTCCCTAGTTACATGCCAACACCAGCAACAGACAAACAAAATACACACATACATGCAAACACAAAGAAGAGACAGGATAGAGAAAGGCATACATTACTTGGAAAAAAAAGAATACATTTCTCAAATGCGTGCAGAAATATTACATCACACAGTAATATGAATGAATAAGTAGATGCCATGTGCCATTTATTTATTTTTTAAAATCTTTTTTGGGGCTTTTTCTTTAATTAGACAGGACAGCTAAAGTTAGACAGGAAAGGGGATAGAAAGAGAGGGGATGACACGCAGCAAAGGGCCACAAGTCAGATTCAAACCCATGGCCTCTGCAGCAAGAACTCAGCCTTTATACATGGGGCGCCACAAGTAGATGCCATGTCTGACTTCCAGAAAGAAAGATGCTACACTAGTGTCATTTTCTAGTTAAATGAGTCTTAACTTCTATCTCTTTTTTCACATTTCAATTAAATATTTAAATAGTTTAAAGATCAAAAACCACAACATAATGACATTCATCAATTACCATAAAAGTATCAGACGGAGCCTAGATAACAGAGCAGAAGAAAAGGACAGAAGGGGTTTTGTTGAAGAAGCATATATGTATGAGCACAAAGGCAGCGGATAAAAAAGACTAATTATTCAGCCCAGCAACTTCTCTAAGAACACATTCTTATTTACAGTGACAGCCCCGGGGAGTAAAAGCAGGGTCAGAGAGGGTTACACACAAACACCCACTCAAGCATCAGGGAGCTACTGAGCACTCACACAATTCTCCACTGCTGAGGACCGAAAGAGCTGCAGGTACAGTGCCTTGCTCAAAGACAGTGATTACTGGGGGTAGAGTGTGTGTTGCTGTGACTGTCCATGCTGTGACACTGGATATTTGAGCCACTGTCATCCAATAGTAAACAAGCTGACAACATGACACAAACAATACAGACAGAAAAGAAGAGTGATGAGAGGAAGAGGACAAGAAACTAAATGAGGACATTACTAGGAGGGGGATGCTACCTGACATGTATTCATTCTACAGTTTACATTGGAGACGATGTTGTAATGTAATATAAAGTTTACTGAAGTAAATAACTCTAAAAGGTTTCTTTATGGTAGCTTGTCACTGCCAGATACTGCACAATGATTTGTTTATAATAAATATGTGCTATCTTTATAATACTGCTCAGATTATCTAAATGCCACACCAGTATTATTTTGTTTGTAATATGTATTTGTCATTTTTATTATCAAATTATAAACTTATATATATACATATATATAATATTATAAATATTTGACTATCTGTCCAAGTTGTGCAGCAGCTATACGATGTGGTCCATACTAAATAGTGTATGTACCTGACAAAAGTATCAGATAGAAAATACATTTGAGTAATTTTTGACTTTTTTGAACCCAGTTGGTTTAATAAACAACACCTACATTTTGGTTAAAGAGTAAAATTAAAAAAGATGTCAATAGAGGTATGTCTAGAATAGTGATCGACCAATGTGGGTTTTTCAATATGCTGATGGTGATATTTACAGAGCAGGCCTGATGATGGCCGATATATAATGGCGATATCAAAACAAAGAAAAGTAATGTGTAATTTTATTCTATTCTTCTCGACAGGAAATTCAGGCATGTGTTAACTCACAAAGGGGGCACTAACATCGATCCACAGCAGCCACACTGACGAGACTGCCTGCAGATGTGTCTGAAGACATTTTTTGTGTTTTTGTTCGGCCTTGTGAGCACAGACATCAGCCAATGCCAATTATCTCAAAATGCCAGATAATCGGCCTCATTAATCGGCCAACCGATGAATTGATCTATCACTTGTCTAGACCAATATGTTTAAGAAATACCTGAAATATGAATTGCTGAAATCTTATTTATTTTCACCCATCTAAGACTAAATTGATTTAGTTATTAGAGTAAATGAAGTTCTAGTTTAGTTTTTACCTTGAACAGTTTTTCAAGGCATGTAGGCACCACACTTATTAATATATTTATATTATTATAATATTTTTCAGGTTTCAATTCATGGAATTTACAATCAGGGCTATTTGTGATTGAAACAATTAGACAGTTAGATCAGTGTTTACATTTGTTCACAAATGACAGGGTGAATGTTAACCTAATAACTACATCCACCTTCCTCTGTGTTCATATCAGCAAATCTCTGCCCTACACTCGTATCCACCTTGAAGTCTTAAAGTCTAAACCGTGATATCTAAACACATCAAGACTGCTCAGTTGTAGGCCAGCAGCATGTAACCCAGTGTGCCCACAAGCCCCAGTTGTGTAAAAGCTGGGCCATCTCAGTAGAGCGTGGAGGTGGAAACAAATGCTGAGTGCAGCTGCAGACTGACTGTGTGTGCCCTGTGGTGTGTATTTTTAGACCAGAGCAGATGCTGGTGTATCATGTCTGCTGTGACGTCATCGCCTCTCCCTTTGTCAGCTGAGTGGATCCCCACTCTCCTACAAACGTCAAAGGAAGTCAAGAAAGAGGTGAATGGGGAGGGGAAACTAGAAAAGGGGGATGGATATCAGGGGTTTTACAAGAAGTACAGGGGACAGCAATAATGAAAAACAGAGCTATGGACAATAAAAGAAGATGGATTTTTTAAAATGGACAAGAGAGACTGGGCTGAAAACAGAAAGAGGCGCAAGGAAAGACACAGGGAGGGAAAGAGGGCCACAAATGTTCAGGAGGAGGGCTGGAAACGAGAAGTGGAGGTAATAAATAAAAGTAAGAGAGAAAATAAAAAGGTAAGTAGAGAAAAAAGGGTAAGGGAAGAGAGGGAAGGAGGGCAAAGTGATAAAGAAGGAGATGTGATAAGATGATGAGAAACATGGAACAAGGTGGTAAAAGAGAAGAGAAGGTGCCTCCATTTTCTCACAGATATGAATATAAAATTCCCATTTAGCAAAAAAAACATATGATGAACAGACAGTAAAAATCATAAACTCTCTTTAACTCGTGATCTCGTGAACTAGTGATTGTAGTAATGGCTGTGTGTAGGGAGAATACAAAGGGTATTCCCAGCAGCCATTTGCTATTTACTGATACACTTTTTCCACTTTGTGTTTCTGAATTCTTCACTTTCTCTCCTTCTTTCTCCCACGTCATTCTCAAACTAGCATGACAGACAGCACTGAGTGACCTGAAACATTCAGAAGAGAAACACGCAATCTGAAAGACAGGCCTACCTTTAGGAAAGGACAGACAGGTAAACAGACAGGACAGGACGGGACAGATAGATATGCAAGCAGATAACAGATAACTCACCTAAACACACACACCATGACCCTATACCGCGGCACAGCCACAGTTTATTAAAATATACAATGATAATGTCAGTGCTAAAGGACCTTTGATGCAATCTGAGTGACCTGAGCTGTTGGAGGGCATCCTGTTCTCTGCGAGTGACTGTAGGGTGTGTTTATGTGTGTGTGTGTGTGTGTGTTTGGCAGGGAATCGTGGGGTATGGGTAATAGGAATCATGATGACGTCAACAAAGGCTGATCTGATCTAAACTCTGACTCTGTGACCACAGCACCGGAAAGTAAGGATTTAACCAGCCAAATTCAAATTTCCTATGGAAAGACTAAGCTCATTTGTTTAGGGACAGCATTGTCAAGGTGTAATAGGACAGGATGCGGTAGGTGAAATTTCCACTTTATCATCATTAACCTATATTGTTGTCCTTGTTTGGTCTAACATCACCTTCAGACAGCTTACACATTAAAACTGTTACCAGGAGAATTTCAAACAGAATGAATTTGCGGCCCTTGCATCGTGAAGGCCACTGATTTTACACATTGAAGTCTGTTTACAGGTCTTGTTGTGGCTCCAAAGGGAACTGCAAGAGTCTTAAAATAAACTGAGACAATAACTTGAGTCAGAATCGGTTGGGTCTAGACTAAATTGGAAAATGAAAAAACTATTGGGGTGTGGAGTTAGAGAGAAGCGAGTTTACCAGACCTCTGTAGCCCGCTCCTCCTCTCTGCTTGAGGCTAGCAGCTTGAGGGTACATTAGGTGTTAATACCATAAAACACCAGAACCTCCAACCAAACTGTTGGTGGTCGAGTTGCATTGTGGATACTGTAAGCGTGTTTTAACCAGGAAAAAGCACGGGTGGAATAAAAAAAGACAATAATTCCATCAATAAGATATCAATTCTGAAATGGAAAAAAAAGATTGAACTGATCAATTCAATCTTTTTTTCTAAACTGTCAATTGTGAGTCTGACAGTGTTAAATGAGTGCAATGCTAATTTGTGAAGTATTAATTTAATTGCAGTTTAAAACCAGGTATAAAAATTTTACTCAGAATCCCATTTTTCCTACCGAAAGGCAAAAAGCAAATCAGTTGTTAAACATGTGTGTAAATGTAAATGTTTGTCATTTCACTAAATTAAGAAGGCTATGTAAAGCTCCAAAAGACATCGTACAAAACAAATCCAGCACTATCTTGCTATAGTGACACATTAACCAGCAGTAAAGTTATTTAAAAAATCAACCATGATATACTGCACCTATTACCTGGACCAACAGTAAAACAGAGCAGCCTCAAGCCATTAAACCCAACGAGTGAACAAGTAAAGTTTGTGAGCAGAACACCAACAGAGCATGAATACAAGAAAAAAGGCACCGGCTGTAGTACTGAACACAATGACCAAATTAATGAGTCACAGCCATTGTATGTTTCAGGTGAGTAACACCATGTGCCCATTGGCTGCGAAGAACTTTAGCTATACACACTCTCTGTCCCATGGAAATTCTGCAAACCTCCTGTACAAAAGGGTCCGACTCATCTACTTATTTAGAATGTCATTTGTTTTTCATGTAATGGGAAAGACCATTGGACACTACTTCTCCACATATTGCTCTTCTTCTTTAATGCTGGCAATCAGCTCTACAACCAGGAAACAATAGCGGAATATGAGAGCCAACTGGTTCTCTCAGGCTATCTAAGAAATAGGTAGACATAGCTGAAGCTAATTGAGAGAAAGTTAGTACAACACAAAAGTAAATTTACACATAACTGCCAGACTGAAAATTCTTCATACTGATTTACTGATAATGATGTAAATCAAGGAATGAGAGCTTCTTTAAAAAGTAGACGTGGTAGCAGTTCCCAGGAGCTATCATAACTATAAGCATGTATAGCATACAACATCAGTGCCTTTTGTTTTTCATTATCAGAAACCCTTGGCTTTCAGGAAGAAGTGTTATTGCAGTCTAATCTCAAGAGCTGCTGCCCTCATCCAAATTTGATGGGATTATTTCCCTCGGCAACAGGGCCTTACATTTCTTTCATGATACATACTCTGTATCGTCAAAAAGATAGTCACTAGAGGCTGCAACACTGTCTGTTGACTCATGTACAATGCAATATGTGTTATATGAGTAAAAAATGGATATTAAAGTAAAAAAATATATAAATAGCACGTTTTCCCTGTAGACAGCAGCCTTTTTTGTCTGTTCAGAAAAACTTATCATTTCAGTACGTATAGTTATAGCACATACATGTACACAGATAAAATAAAATAAAATACAATGGGAATTGGGATGAGCCAAGTTAAATAAAACCCAAGGATATTTTTTTTCCAAACTTAAACTTTTAAACTTATTGCATATTTAATCATCATGAATATTTAAAGTTATGGAGAAATACGCAAGATTTTAATCTGAGTTTCCAGGGGCTTCAAAGGGCAAGTCTCGTGATCTGGAATTTGAAAAATAACTTGACATTTTACAATTTACAAATGCTATTTGACTCAGTACGTGGGGCACCAGCTCTACCAGGTGAGCTATCCGGGCGCCCACCAGGTATGTTTAATGTGTTTAATCTGATTTGTACTGTAGGTCCCAGTAAATGACTAAACCAACCAGGGCGATGCATTGTGTCATTGTGTGTCCCACTACAGTGGATGTATGTTGTGCTGTGGAAGTTGTCAATGTGCATCTATAATAAATACCTCCACACTTATTTTATTTGGCAAAGAATGAATTCCCGGTCTGAGGCTGTGGATCTACAGTATTATGCCACAGTGGGTTGGCCTGAGAGATGCTGTTTTCTCTACACTTCTCCTCCACACAACACCTCATCCATACCACCTCTCATCTACAGCACAGCAGCAAGTTTGGCTCTCTTCCCAAACAATCAGGACCATACACATAACTACTCATGACAGCCACAAGCTGTCCATACCCCACCGGCTCACAGCTTACAGTAATGTACCTGGTGCGCTGCCTGGCTGCCAGTTAAGATATCAGGAAAGTTGCGAATCCAGCCCATGGATTTGTGCAATGTTCAGCAAAGTTCTCAAGGGAAGCATAGAGTTAGTTGTGCAACGTCTGCTTTGCTGCTCTCTTAAAGTTGCTTTACTAAGGCGATCCATTACATCCATTTCATTTTTGTAAAAGTTACATGAATGTTGCATGGAAATGTGAAAATGCAGACTCATTTACAAAGTGGATTGTACATCACAGCTGCTTACATTGAGGAATAAATGAAAGCACAAATGATAAAAGGATAATATGAATTTAACAGCTCCTTGCATTAAAGTGGTGTCCAGCAGACAAGTGTTTTGTTATAATGCATTAATATAATATATGGCAATAACTTTAATGCACTACACAATGTCAATGAAAAAACCCCCCAAAGATAAACCTGTCTCTGTTTCTGTCCAAGTACGAATATAAATACATTTTGGCTGTTATAAATAAGAATACTGACCTTTCTGTGTACCCCCAATGTTCCTATCTAACAGAGAGTGGCAATTGCAAAATTCTCCAAAACATTATTTCATGGAGAGACTAAAAAGACTGCAACAGCAGAAGAGCACCCACAGGAAAGAAGTGATATTCAGGGAGAGCAGGATTCCCTGGGGGTGGCAGATAAAATGACATAGTGGACTGTAGAGTTGGGGCCAGGTAGGAAAGGTCATTATGAGACAAAAGTTGCTCAAGGGACTTCACTGACCAAAACATAAGGTCATGTAAGTGACTGGGAGCCAGCGGCGCTGAAGAATGTTCTTCCTCCGACAACTGGAAGTGTCTCGCTCATGACCCTCGTGACCCCTGTGCAATAAGACAAACTTACAAGCAGCCATAATTTGACTTTGTTGCTAATTAGCACATTGTTGGCATCATAATACGCTAAACTAAGATGGTGAACACGGAAAACATTTAACCTACTGAACATAAGCATATCAGCATTGTCATTGTGGGTTTCATAGCATGGTGATGTTAGCATTTAGCTGTAAGCACTGTTGTACCTTAGTACATATTAAGAGAGTCCTGTTTAAATATCTTGAATTAAAAGAGTAAAAAAAAAATGTATTTCTCTTCCACAATAGAGGCTAGGGGGCACAGCCTGGTGGTCTAGGGGCAAACAAATAAAGCCGTAAAAAGCCCCAAAAGGTAATTTTAAAGAAAATCTATGGAAGCCTAACTACAGAGGAAGAACATCCTGAGTGAAACTTTTGGCTTTACTTTGAATCAGTTTGACTTCAAAGTCTTTTGAAAGTGAACTCAGTACCTTAATATCCAGTTTAACCCTTTATTGGACACTGTTCATAAATCAGATGAAAATGAAAATAAGATGTACTATCCTCTGAATAAGATCCATTACATGGTAGTATTGTTTGCAGTGTTTGGATACATTAGGTATTGGATATGGTATGTATATCAGGTAGTATATAGTCTAGTACTGTTGAAAATGGTGCCATGAATGTGAAAATGGGAAATAGAAACCTGAAATGGTATGCTTTCATGTTATGACATGTAGTGTAAATATGTACATGCATCTATCAAGAAAATGAAACATAAAACTATGAGCCATTATTTCCACACGTTACAGCAAACAAAGGTGTTACGCTGCTTATCACTTCCCCTTGAAAAGCCCAATGGCAGCTTTGAAAATACGCTTTCTGAGGGAGTAAATCAAATTTATTTTCATCCAGGCATATTTTATCCTGAACCACACTCCACTCTGTCCAAGGCCTCAGTGGACTATAAGATCAACACATACACGTTAGATTAGCCTGTCTGAGTACAACGCCTGAGGATCTAAAACACACCCAAAACTTGGCCAGAACATGGAGACACAAAGCAGATGTTCCCTGCTCCCACCAGCTGCTGTGGAGAACTTTGGAGAAGCTGGACATCATTGTGTATTAGTGTTACAGACTCATCCCATATGAATATGTACACAGTTGGTAGAACAGCCAACAATGCAAACTATTCTGCAACTTCGAGGCTCAATGCCCCAATCAGTTTTATGACTAAATCTAAAAACTGTGTCTTGGACACAACAGCATACATACATTTCACACTTGTGTGTTGGTTGTAGCACCATAGACTAGTCTATTTCTTGCTGCTAAGAAAGTAGAGACAATGAGTAATGTTTGTCTTTGCTGATGACACACACAATGTAATATGGATTTCACATCAAAAGATGAAGATGAGGCAAAAGAAAGACTGTCAACTTTTACCTGAGGGACTTTATCGGCATCCCGATTAAACCATGCTAAAACAGTGATACCAGCAGAAAAACATACCTCATCTAACATTTCTTACCACTTGCACTTTGGTAAATATACACCTTAGTCAACTCAACCACCAGTCTTTTCAAGGCGATCACTTGGAATACATAACTTGCTGTTTAGCACAGTGTTCATGTTGTAGGACAAAACACCTGTCACTTCTACAGAATTTACAAATTGCTTCGGGGTAATTTCTTAGAACACCCAATTCAAGTTCCAGAGAAACTTTGGTAATTTCACGCCAGTGGATATTAATGAAGTCTGCCAGCCACATTAGCTCATTAATAATATTGCAGATTAAACTATGATGAATTGGTGGACTGCACAATGGACTGTTCTGGCCCTGGTGTGACCAGTCTCTTATCTGACCTTTACAGATACAAGCTGTAAAAGACACAGGAGACACAGAGACCCTCGTGGGGCAGGACTAAGACAGCAGATGTACATAAGCCTTTTTCATAATGGAAGGGTCCGTGGACCTTTTTACTCTGTGTCAGTTTCCAATAATAGATTATTTTAATTTCTACAGACACTTAAGGGAATATGCCTCTTGAAAGACTTAATGACTGAAAAGACAGATTTCTGTAGACTTGTAAAATTGACTTTACTGCCTGGCTTGTTTCTTCTGCACTGTATATTTGCATATAGTGCAAACACATACATAGTACATTCTGTATGTCTGTATGTAAGGTGTTGCCTGTTCCATCTTGAGTATTATGTAGAATTTGTAGCAACAAATGTTATCCTATTAAATTGTGAATGTTTAATTCAGTAAAGTGTGAGTGAATAATTATAATTATAATGGCATTTCCAGGAACAATTTACTGGAGGGAGACTATGCCTGCAGATAAAACTGATTAGTTTGAAAATTATTATGATGAAATGTTATGATGATATATGGAGGAAGAAAAGTCGGGCAAGAAACCCTCAGCTCCAAATGTCATCAAAGATAAAGGTATGTTGAAGTTGTTGAGTCTATCATGACACACCCTAAGCAAAGCCTCATTGTACTATGTGTGAAGTCCATCCTTAACTCTGACACACACTCACAGGACTTAAGGGGGAACACTGATACGGGGGACTCACAAGGGATGGATTAATAAAACGTAATTGCAGTCTCCATTACATCATCAGTTTGTTTTACTTTGGAAAGCTTCCCCCAGAACCCCAGAAATTAATTATGTACATTTTAACTTGATGTGTGGAATCACTGTCCAGCTATATGCTTGCTCAAATCAAATGTTTTCAAATCTGTTGCTGTCTTTTTAAGGCAGTCCTAATGCACATCATGGAGATCCGTAGGTAATAAACTGCATACATTCTGCCAGTGTACTTATGAAAAGAGCCAATTAGGCAGAATATCAGGTCACTCGTAGACAGCATTTCTCCCAGCGGGTAGAAGGCACCATGTGCTTGTCAACTCTCTCTACCTCTCCTCACTCTCCCTGGCATTGAATAAACAACAGGGTAAACAGCGACGTGGGGAGAAAGATGAATGGTCCCAATGAGTGTCGAGGACCCTTCAGAATCTTAAAGCGAAAATCCACCCTTAAATACAATTTACTGAATACATCAACCGCATGAAGTTAGACTCTTCAGGTGAGATGTCTGGACATGAACAATAATTTGTTTTAACTTGAGTCAAGTTGCGAATCTCTCATCATTAGGAGACAAAAGATAACACTGATGGTGGAAAGTAATTTAACTCAAGTACTGTATTTCCAGTTTCTCTCACTGTCCCCTTCTACTCCACAATATTTCAGAGGGAAATACTGTACTTATCCTCAACTTATATGTATCTGACATAATAGTTACTGGTTACATTTAAAGGTTAAATTACCTTAGAATGAGCTGTTTTATCTACAGATGCTGAGGGTCGCTTTCCATGGAGGTTACCATGCCGAACCGCCATGTTACTACAGTCGCTTGGAATAGACAAACGTGCGTTTTTCAAGAGTTTCACGGCAATCTGCAATTACACCGCTAAATGCCACTAAATCCTACACACTGGTCCTTTAGGATTTTTAGAAGCTTATAAAATACAAAGATTAAACAAATGGCTTCGAGTCAAGACCTCTTAATAAAACATAAAAGAACAGATGGGGCCCTGTTCAAGGCCCGAAGAGGTAGAATTATCTAACATTTTACATAAAAGTGTGTAGAAGAACTATTTCTTCCTTCCAACTCAATTTAATCCTCTCACGTCACCTGGAGGGAGGAGGAGGCCTGACCCCTGGGCTGGAAACCACTGGATTATACAACCCGAGAAATAAAGCATTGATGCATTAACATTAACAATCTCATTTGTCTGCAGAACGAGTACTTATATTAGAGTATTTTTACATTGTTATACTTGTAGATAAACAAAGGAGCTAAGTACTTCTGCCACCACTACAAATATGAGACAGAACACTAATTTATTATTTTATTAAAATGTCAGACGTAAACAGAATCAGGCACTAATTTGTATAAAATAAAAGTCTGCTTCCTTAACAATCCCTGGTATAAACGATAAATGCAGTGCTACTTCACTATAAACAAGAAGGTGAACAAACATTTGCACATGTGGATAAAAAATAAAAAAGATGCCAATGACCAATGTTTGTCTCATTTGAAATAGTTTTTGTTATTATTTATACCGTACTTTATACTTACTTATCTTAAAAATATGATCGTCGGTGTGAAATGGTCTTTTTCTGGTGAGCTATGGAAAGCAACTGTAAGCTATAGTCATCTGTTTTAGGATGCATTCCACCTGAACCACAGCATGATATGACATTGCTACTGAGACCCGCTGAGCTGAGCTCTGTATGGGACCACGAGCAGAACTGGTTCTCTTATAAAAGCACAAATGGAGCGATGATTTAGGGCTATTCATCTAGGTCAAGAGAATAAATGCAGCTAGTTAAGATGAGACAAATTAGAGAGTCATGCTATGCCAGCAGAATCATGAGTTAACAGAGAATAATGATTTTCACTGTTCTGCCTTACCTCTTACTTTGTCTTCACACACTCACAAACATACACACACGGGCTACAGCACGTTCCCTCAGTGAATGCATCAGCTGTTCTCACTACACACTTGGAGAGCAGATTAAAAATGGAAAGCTGGGAGAAAACTGGAGGTGGAGGGTGTTAATTTGTAATAGTCATGGGTAATAATACTGTACGTTGTTCCACAGAAAGGATTAACATAGTGACCTATGTTTAGGGCTGCAGAATGGACGCTCTGTTGTCAGCATTGTGCAGGTGTGTCTCTGCATCTCTGTGTGCGTCTGTGTTTAGCATTCAGAGTGACGCGGGTCAGAGACACCTCAACGGTACCAGTGTCTGACTGAATAAAGGTCATTATTGTAGAAATGGAGGCACAGAAGCATGGAGAAAAGTGAAAGACGGGAGGTTGAGTGAAGAGAAATAGTTGAGATCAGGTTAAAAATGAAATAAAATAAAATGCTGGGACAAAAGTGCTATATGAAAGAAAAAGGAAGGAATCCATAAGAATGTTGTCTATAGCTCTGAAATTCCTGATTAACACTTTTCTGACATTTGACCTTACATGCTCAAAGGTTACACTCTGAGTGAGGAAGAGAAGAAAGAAAGATCAGCGATGGACTGTACTTACTCAGCATTTGCCATGATGCTGGTTGCTGGAAGGAGGAGAGATGGTGTTGCTTGTCACAAGGTTTCCACTCAGTTCTGGCTGTTTTAGTGCTGCAGTTCACCTTTTCTCCTGATAGATGCTGCTTTCATGATGAACCTGGGAAGAACATGGTCATTATTGCAAGTGAAGCGAAGCAGGCATTCACTAATGTCTCATACAAGACTAATAATAATCTGGGTGGCTGGTAACTTCAAATTCAGTAGCTGGAGATCCAAAAAGTTATCATTTTAGGTCTGGTATTTGCAGCATTTCAATATCAATTAAAACTACGACTTCATATACCATGACTGGTATTAAAACATCACAGGTATTAAAACATCACAATTTATGATATTAGGGACAAAATAGTTTTAAGAAAAATGGTAAAAGCTCCTATCTCTACATCTTATGATTTGTTTCTATGATCTGGTGATGAAAAATAAGCGTTAAAATTGGTGGCACTTATTGCTTTCATCACAGGCTTGAGCCAAGAGGAACCTGTTTGAGGGTTTGTCCTTGGGTATTAGTGCTAAATAACAAACTAACAGAAACCTTGCACATTTATGAGTCACATGCCTTCTGAGCAGTTGAATTCAATGAAAATGTCAGACATCAACAAAAGACTAGAACGACTGCAGAGCCTATACTCAAAGAAGTCACCAAAAAGACTGTAAGCAACTTTTGTAAATGTGAACTTTTAATCCAAACCCCTGAAGCCTCCATCTGCCTACAGCTCAACGGAGGAAGGGTGCATGTCAGACTTTTCATCAGAGTAATAATTGCACCTGTGATCACATCGATTCACTTGCTGAATCAGATTCCACAGAGGAGAAACTAAATGAGAGTTGCGTGCACACAACTATACCGATAGCCCCCCTCGCTGTACATAAATTAATTATTTATCCGGAGCAAAGGACCTACCTGTGTGAGATTTACATTGTTGACGGGTAATCGTGCCTCCCGCTGCCCCCTTGCTGATAGTAATGTCTCCCTCGGTGGTGATGAGAGTAAGTGAAGCAGCAGCAGGCTCGCAGTGTGTGTAGGCTGCAGCTATCCTTAGCACTTTTGCATTGGACGAGCACCACCACCGTTGCTGCTGCTGCTCCCACTTGCGCTGCTTGGATTTCAGTGCAAAACCAAAAGAGGGGCTGAAGCTCAAATGCAAGAAGCATCGTCACTCGGCAAGATCATATTAGGTTTTTTAAGTCTTTATTCAGACCAAATAACGACCCTTTAAGCGCGATCTCCTCCTTCTCCTCCTCCTCGTTGAGGGTTGTGCGTGTGCTGCTCCAGATCCAGGTTCCGCTCCTCAGCCGAGGGTTTCCCCGGCGAGCGCAGCGGGGAACCCTGCGAAAAGGAGCTGCCCAAGGTGCTGAAGCGGGCACCCGACGAAGCCCCTCGGCTCTCTACCGACCCGCTCCCGCAGCAGCAGCCGGGCAACGCTGGGCGAATTTCATCCAAACGCCATCAAAACATTGACGTTTTGGTGCCGGAGACTGACAGTGGCCAATGAATCGTGTGACATTTGCATCGCTCCGGTCACGACATAGCAGACTAACAATGTTGGCTGTGTGTGTGTGTGTG